TTCTGGACTGAGGAGTGTAAATAATTCTCTGGGGGAGGGAAACTACAGCCTTCCAGGAACTAAGAAAATTAAGGAGTGATTAAGTAACTTTAGTTAGGACATAAAACCTGCACAGAAGCACCATCACTTGGAGAAAGGCTCGCATATACTGGCTTAAACTGAATTCTCCATGGACCAACAGATAAGGAAAGGGGGGGTTGCTTAAATAGCCTGAGTTAGCAGTGACTCAAGGCCTTCCTTCCACCCTAGCTAACAGATAGGACCTCTGCTTAAGGGGTGGGGGCAATCCTTAGGGAAGGGTTGGTGGGATTTTGGCCTGCTGATTCCCCATAAAACTGCAGGACTCTAATTCTGAGCAGAGGGAGATATGAATTTAAACCACAGGAAAACCCCTGAATACAATTTGAAGAACTAGTTGCTGTTCACAGCCCTTGCTGGAGTTGGGGTGATCTCTGATAAGCTTGTTAGCATGAGTTTCTCTGTATGCTTGCTTAGAAAGAACTAAGTGGTAAATTATAGCTGTTGGCAATTGCTTGGTTATTGGTCTCTGAAGTGAAAGCAAAGTGCAGATTCTGACCATTTACGCAGTTTGCATTGGTAGGGATGTCACAGTCTTATAAGGAAGTGGTTCAGCCTGAAAACACGTATGCTGAAATATTACTTTTCCCAGAAAGGAAGAGGAATAGGATCTTTTGGAATAAAGCACCTCTGTACCAGTGTAGCAGTATCTACCGCAGAAGAAGAACCAGTGCAACTATTTCAGAAAAAAACTCAGACCCCTAAATGACAATTATGCCAGTACAAAACTGTGTGTCAATTTGGCCTTCTAATGCAAAAAGACAAAACTGCTTATCTAATGGCATTACTCTCCACTGCCACATAGAAGGTCTTTGATGCAGGCCTTGCCCATACTAGGAACACCACTTTGACAGATATTTGCTATCACACTTGTCCAAAGCATGTTATTGGGAGTCACCAACCTATGCTATTAGAGATACTCTTGCAAGTTATATTTAACTGACGTAGGCCAATAATTCTTGGAGAAATGCCTAGTTGCAATTCTCTTTAGTAGCCGTAGATATCACCAGTGAAGTCTGTTTACTGCTTGATTGCAGGAATAATATTTAGGTACAGAACTTCTGCTTACAGGTTATACTCATGCAAATAAATAAAAAAAAACCTTTACCTGGGATCAAAATAGGGTTCTCTGATTTTTAGAGACAGATTATTTATTTTAAACATAGCTATGCAACAAACTGCGTCCCTAGAAAGTCTGTAGTATTCTTAACACAGTTTGGGTCCCTCTACACTACAAATAAAAGTGAGTCTAGAGACACAATTACAACTAGAACGGAGAAAAGTTTGGAATTTCTGTGCCACAGGAAACTGACATATTAATAGTTGTTTTCAGCCCAATCAGGACAAAAAGTTGAATTTTCATAAAATCACTCCAGAGGAAAATTTGTGCCTGGCTCCAATTAACAACGTTGTTCTCCTCTGACTTACTACGTGGGTCCAATTTCAGCTGACTACATCAGTTTCAGCATGTTCATGCAATAGATTTCCAGGCACAACTATTTCCCAGGAACGTTTACATGTCCACTCCTACCACAGGTGGCACACAATCTGTGCATTCTGGGACACTCTGAGCAACTGTGCTACATTGCAAATACCAAATATCTTTGGTGCTTTTCAAGAGGCACTCTACACTCAAACTGGATGCATAGGAATTCTTGAGCCAAATCCACCAGCCAATCCAGGAATTTGAACAAAAACCTCCTTGGTGGTTCATGCTGTTGTACCATCAGGTTTTGTAATTTTCCTGCCTGATTCCTAGTCCCTATCTATCCCTATGCTTACAGGAGAATGGTGGAGGTGGTTCCATATGGTAAGGTTTTTTGTCTCCCCATGTTGCCAATACATAGGTGAGCATGGACCAGTTGATCTTGGCTTCATAGCAGGATAAAATTGTGGCGGTTGAAGTGAATAACCAGCTAATCCTATCTATGATGAAACCCACTTTCCACCTGAGCAGTGCAGTGCTTAAGCCAATCATGCATGTGCAGGTAGTGTCAGAAAGAGGGCTTTGGGTTCTTCAACCATGCAGTGTTCCAGGAACAAGGATTGCTAGGAAGAGATGGGATACACCTAATGCAAAGAAGGAAGGGTATCTTTTCAACAGGTTTGCTAACCTAGTGAAGGGGGCTTTAAACTAGGCCTTCTAGGGGATGATGATCTAAGCCCTGATGTAAGTGGGGAAGTGGGATAATGGAAGGAAACACAAGAAGGAAGGTGCAACAGGAGAGGCCTCCTGATTTATACTGAGAAAGCAGAGCAAAAGGCAGGCCTGCCAACAGTGGAGGATAATGGGGGCAGTTGCCCCATGGCTCAGCAATTCAAAAGGACCCACTGCTCCTGTATTATGATGGTGCGCCTGTGGTAGTGGCAATGGCCAGAGGCCCGGGCCCCTTAAATCACCACTTGAGCTCTGGGGGGGGGGCAGTGCCTGAGCCTGCGGGAGTTGGGGCAGTGCCTAGCCATGCCCCTTTCACCCAAGTACCCACCCTGTCTGGGTGCGATGAGCTGGAACCTCTCTCCCTTTCCCAGGGGCCTGGCAAATCTGTCGGCCCTCCCCTCCCTTTCTCCCCCACCCCTGAAATAGGCTAGTTATCTTAGGTGTTTGTATACAAATGCAAGAAGCCTGGGAAACAAACAGGAAGAATTGGAGTCCTGGCACAGTCAAGGATCTATGATGTGACTGGAATAACAGAGACTTGGTGGGGTAACTCACATAACTAGAGCACGGTAATGGATTGGTATAAACTATTCAGGAAGGACAAACGGGAGAAAAGGTGGAGGAGGAGTTGCACTATATGTTAGGGTATGTCTACACTACCCTCCTAATTCGAACTAGGAGGGTAATGTAGGCATACCGCACTTGCAAATGAAGCCCGGGATTTGAATTTCCCGGGCTTCATTTGCATAAGCCGGGCGCCGCCATTTTTAAATCCCGGCTAGTTCGAACCCCGTGCCGCGTGGCTACATGCGGCACGGAGTAGCTAGTTTGGATTAGGCTTCTAATCCGAACTAGCTGTACTCCTCGTGGAATGAGGAGTACAGCTAGTTTGGATTAGCGGGGTAGTGTAGACATACCCTTAGGGAGCAGTATGATTGCTTGGAGTCCAGTATGAAACTGGAGAAAAGCCTAATTGCCTTCTATGATGAGATATGTGATATGGGGAAAACAGCAGATATAATATACCTTGGCTTTATCAAAGATTTTGATACTATCTCGCACAATGTTCTTTCCAGAAAGTTAAAGAAATATGGCTTAGATGAATGAACTGGAAAGCTGGCCAGATCGTTAGGTTTAATGGGTAGTGATCAATAGCTCAATGTCTAGTTGGCAGCCGGTATCAAGTAGAGTGCCCCAGAGAGCTGTACCAGGGCTAATTTTGTTCAACATCTTCATTAAGGATCTGGATGAAGGGATGGATTATACCCTCAGCAAGTTTGCAGATGACACTAAGCTGGGGGGCGAAGTAGACATGCTGAAGGATAGGCACTTAGGACGGAAGAATCCCATGCATTGGTACAGGCTGGGGACCGACTGGCTACATGGCAGTTCTGCAGCAAAGGACCTGGGGAGTACAGTGGAAGAAAAGCTATTTAGACTAAAGTCTGCTAACTTCAGATATGAGTCACTGTATGCCTTTGTTGCCAAAAAGGCTAATGGCATATTGAACTGCATTAGTAGGAGCATTGCCAGCATATCAAGAAAAGTGATTATTCCCCTCTATTCAGCACAGGTAAGGCCACATCTGGAGTATTGCATGTGGTTTGGAACCCCTACTATAGAAAAGATATGGACAAATTGGAGAGTCCAGCAGAGGGCAACAAAAATGATTAGGGGGATTGGAGCACATCACTTATGAGGAGAACCTGGGGGAATGGGGTTTGTTTAGTCTAATGGGAATTGACAACAGCCTTCATCTACCTGAAGGGGAGGTTCCAAAGAGGATAGAGCCAGGCTGCTCACTGTGGTGGCAGATGACGGACCAAAAGGCAATGATTGCAGTATAGGATATATTAGAAAAAACTACTTCACTAGGAGCATGGTAAAGCACTAGAGTAGATTATCCAGGAAGGTGGTGAAACTCCATCCTTAGAGACGTGACAAAGCCTTGGCTGGAATGGTTTAGTTGGGGTTGGTCCTGCTTTGAGCAGAGGGTTGCACTAAATTATCTTCTGAAGTCTCTTCCAATCCTAATCTATGATTCCGTCTCTCTGTGCAAGGGACCTGACCCCACAATGTGGAGGCTGAGTACGCACTATAATGCCCTGACCACATGGGAGGGGGCGGGGAGAGGGATGACAGAGGGGTTGAATGGCTGTGGGTCTACCAAAAGTGCTAGAAATAATTGTATAACTCACTGTTCCATTCTCTGCCACACATCTGACTTCAGTACTTTAAAAGCAGATTCCTCTGTGCTTGTGATGACCTGGCAAAATTTTATATTCTTCTAATATGCAAGGAAGGGACAGGACATGAACACTTTTCCAGCCCCTTAGCAAGTATTATTAATAGTGTTTTTGAACTCATTGTGAGACTCCTGGGGATAGAGGCTACCCTTTGTGACTCCAGACTAATGAGCGCATATCCAGATTATGGCAGCTCTTCAGCTATCACAGGAACAGAATGACAGCGGCATGTGCCTTGTTGAGATTGATGACACTTACCTGAATTACATTTCCATGATCATTGCATGGTTTATAACTATCAAATTGTGTCTTTCATTATCAAGCCTTCTGCCTTCAAATTCTTTCTACCAACATGCTGGCATAGTTTATGCCCACATGATTGCTGCACACCAAGAAATCACAGATGAGTTTACAAAGAAGAATTTTTATTAAGAATTGAACCAACCATACACAGCATGTAACTGGAACACCCACTAATCAAAAGAGTATTCCACACAGCGTGAAAGTCAAGCAGCAAATGTAAAAGAACGCCAACATTGACACACATCAGATATCTTTATAGTATATATTATTTTCACTGTTGTAACCAATCCATAGGCTATACAGAAGGGACACAATGAAACTAAAGAGGGTTTGAACTAAAATGTTAAATCTAAACTTCCAGATTTAGAAAGAATTCATCTCCTGATCCAAACATTCTGTCATTCTGTAGTTGGATTCCCCAGCCCAGATTAGGTAAACAAATTATCATATTCAAAAAGGGATTGGATATTTGTACATCTATAAAGAAATACAGAGTTATCAGAATTTATTATGCTAATTTGAAAAGGCTGTTAAACCTCAGGCTTCAGGGATTAAGGCAATCTCGATTAGAGATCATCTTGAGGCCTAATGTAGGAGGCAAATTATGCCCCATTTAGCTTCTGCAGGTTCTTACACCTTCCTCTGAAGTATCTCATGCTGGCAGGTCTTGAAACAGGATACTCAGAAGCAGATAGACCTTAGACCTGAGCCAACCTGGTAAATTCCAATAAAACTTGTTAAAAAAAACAAACCACACAGATCACACAAAACAGACTTCCTTGCAGTATAAAGCTGAAAACTCAGCCTGGTTTCAAGTGAACCTGGGGATTTGTTTATGATTTCTCATCAAAAATATACAGAACTCTCTGTTTTGTACTGTCTCAACCCAAAGCCAAATAAAACCATGTGCTTTTGACATATGGGCATGTTCTAAAGCAAAAACTTGAAGCAAAATTGAAAGAATGCTAGGGCATGCAGACTGAAACCCAAGAAAAGGTTTCCACAAATCAATGCAAATGGAAGCCATTACATTTCTCTTAGCATTATACATATTAAAATATATCCTTCTCTCTTACTCATATGAATAATTCCTTAGCCTTCACTGGGCTGCCTGAATATGGCAAGCAGGATTTATCTAATAATCTTTTCTGAGCCCACAGAAATAAAAATAAAAAGAAATTTAGGGGCTGATTCTCACTTACATCAATGTTATAGTAGTATAATTTCATTGGCCTCAAGGGAATTCCTTCAGTTTACACCTGGTTAAGTGAAAGGAAACAAGCCTATATTTTGACCTAACAGCATCCATAAAGAATCTAAGAGCCTGTTCTAGCCTCAGATATGATCTGCAGTTTTCTCACTGACAGAAATGGAACCTTGCCATAGGAAGAAATAGAAAATTGAACAACAAAGAGAAAATTGTGCCTTCTCCCTTTAAATGTCTGTTTTATACACACACACTCCAACCTACATCTGCTGTGGCAAACTAAGAACATGTAAACTGAATTTTTAAGTTGAGGGCAGACACTGCAATTTTATATTCAACCAAGCTAACAGTAGTGTAAAAACACATTAAATATTTACTTTTTGATTCTGATGAACCTAAGCAGTTCCTGGAAGCTAACAACTCAGCAGTAGTATAAGGAGGCAGCGAAATCTAATTAAGGTAATAAGATACTGCAGCGTACATTTATATAGTGCTTTTTATCTTGCGTGGGTTGGTGGTGTGCTTTAGAATTCGTTTTACCAAAGCTCATTATGAGCCTGATTATGTGCAAAAAAGTAACAATAATCCAAAATGTAATAATCCACGGCAGTAATATCAATTTATAGTCCAATCACTTTGAAAATTAACTAGTTGACTCTCACAATGCCATTGTCTCGAAGGGTATGTCTACACTACCCTCCTAGTTCGAACTAGGAGGGTAATGTAGGCATACCGCACTTGCAAATGAAGCCCGGGAAATTCAAATCCCGGGCTTCATTTGCAAGTGCGGTATGCCTACATCACCCTCCTAGTTCGAACTAGGAGGGTAATGTAGGCATACCGCACTTGCAAATGAAGCCCGGGAAATTCAAATCCCGGGCTTCATTTGCAAGTGCGGTATGCCTACATCACCCTCCTAGTTCGAACTAGGAGGGTAATGTAGGCATACCGCACTTGCAAATGAAGCCCGGGAAATTCAAATCCCGGGCTTCATTTGCAAGTGCGGTATGCCTACATTACCCCGCTAGTTCGAACTAGCGGGGTAGTGTAGACATACCCATAAGTAAGTATTATCCCTGACTTACAGAAGGGGGAACCAAGACAAAGGTACAAGGTGAAATACTGACCCCAGTGAAGTCAATGGCAAAACTCCCAGGAGTTGAAGAAACTGATGTCAAAGGTGGGATTAAAATTCAAGGGTTCCTAGCTCCCGGGAACTAGCCCATATTTCTCCTTATAGTAATCTAGGTTTGTCCATCAATTATGCTAGTGTCTGCATATTCCTCAAATCTCTCTTTATATGTCCTTTTTATATGAAGCAAACTTTTCTCTCCTGAAATATTTTACATAGCCTCCCCCTTTCAAGTACCTGGGCATTTTTAAAAGTTCACCCCTCTTTTTTTCCTCTTGTAGGTAATTTAGAGCTAGGAAAGTGCCAGGGAAACCTAATGATTTTGCTGATGTCTCACCTAATGTCCAGTGGCAGGAATTAAATCATTTGGGTCTAGCCTGAAATTCCCATTTGCCACTTCTCTATTTGGTACATGATCCACTATATGGATCTTGTATATATGTTCTCAGTTATTTTCTTAGCTGAAGCTTGTTACACTCTCAGACAGTCACATGGTACTTGCCCCAGCATACATACTGACGTAGTCATTCAGAATCTCCTCAAATAGTGATGCACACAGTTTTCTTCTAACTTCACCCTTAGGTATTGTGATACTAAGCCCCTCCTGTAGTCAACCCTATCCACTATTGTAATAATCTCTGTACAAAAAGATGCCTTGTGAGGCATCATTTGAAAACTAATAATAAAGATTATTAATATTCTTGTGTGATGTCTGTATGCGCGGGGTATGAAAAGTTTGGATATTTGTTAGAATTATGATTAAGTGTGTTTAAAATAGGCCTGTCAGATGAGTTGGTGAACAGATTTGCCTTAGCTAAAGGAATGTATATTTGACTCTCTGACCAGCCTGGTCTTCCAGCAAAGATAATGAAGCTATTAAACCAGGGCTGGGCAATAAAACAGAAGTGGTTCACCAGAGCTAGCCCCTAGTGAGGCGTTACCACTATATTTACCTGCACCTCTGCAGGTACAGGCAATCACCACTCCATTGGCCAGGAGCAGTGGTCTGAGGCAAACGAGAGCTGTGATCCCCTGTACCTGCGGAGGCATAGGCAAATATGGTGATGTGGAGGTCCACCAAGAGCTAACCCTGGTAGACAGGATCCAGCCTGTGGGCCGGTATTTCCCCACCCTGTATTAAACAAATGAACAAAGCTATTAAGTTAGCAAGTGGGAGATGAAAGAGAAGGCCACTCCATGCTCTACCAGCTTCAAGTCAACTTCCTCAAAGCTTGGATAAACTTTACTTTGATGGGTAATACTCAGAAGTTTCTTGATCTATAAATACTGGGGCACTGAAACGTAAGTGATAAGCAACTGAATCAAGTGATTGTATATAATATTTCTGTTTTTTAAAGTATATAGAGTGAGGTCTTTTCTGGTAGCAAATCACACACTGGGGACCAATATCATTGTCAATATCCCTGGTCTGGCAGAACCACGGATGCTCCTGGACCAGAGAGCCTGGAGCCTAAGGGCAGGAGGGAGAGCTGAGCTGGGCATCAGGGTCAGCAGCCCAGCTGGGGACAGCACAAGACCAGTGCTGGAGTCCCACAGCAGCCTCCAGCAGCCCCCAGAAGTGTGGCGCTGAGGCTGAAGCCCCGTAGGAGTGCAGGATCAGAGTCCCCGCAGCAAACCCCAGGAGCACAGGGTGAGGGCTAGAACACCGAGGCTTCCCCCAGCTGCGTGGGGTTGGGGCTGGGACTCGGACTGTGCTGTGCAGGGGTCAGAGCCCCATCCCTGCAGCTTGCCCCAGCTGTGCGGGGCAAGAGCCCTGCAGAACGGAGCCAGAACCTTGGCCACCCAGGGAGCCAATAGTATCTAGGCAAGCAGCCCAGCCAGGTTTGGGGGTAGGGCAAGGCAGGGTTGCCTGCTGGGGCAGCCTGCCAGCAGCAGGTGATGGGCTAGGGGGCCAATGGCAGGAAACCTCCCCTGGTCCAGCAAATTATCTCATTCAGGACCAGTCAGGTCCCAACAATGATGGACCAGGGAGATCCAATCTGTATTAACATTATATGAGAAATTGTGGATACTTACTGATATTATGTTTTAAAGTCAAGTTCTCCCCCAGACAGTGGAGAAGGCAGCTATTCACCTGTCTCCTATGTAAATTAAGCATGGTGGCATCAAAACAATGGAAGCCCTATTTAAATATGGGCATGGAGAGCCCACAGGAAGGAAAAAACAACATGAAGTCATCTTGCTTCTTGAAACAAAAAATGTTGGGAGATAAGCAGACAGAAATGATCTTTGTCATTCAAACTAGACAGACACAATAGAACAGCGATAGAAATGTAGCCGTGTTAGTCTGGTGTAGCTGAAACAAAAAACAGGACTATGGAGCACTTTAAAGACTAACAAGATGGTTTAATAGGGGATGAGCTTTCGTGGGCCAGCCCCACTTCCTCAGATCAAATAGTGGAAGAAAATTGTCACAACCATGTATACCAAAGGATACAATCAAAAAAATGAACACATATGAAAAGGACAAATCAAATTTCAGAACAGAAGGGAGTTGGGGGGGGGGGGAAGCAAATGTCTGTGAGCTAATGATATTAGAGGTGATAATTGGGAAGCTATCTTTATAATGAGTAAGATAATTAGCGTCTTTATTCAAACTTGAGTGTAAAGTGTCGAATTTAAGCATGAATGACAGTTCAGAGGATTCTCTTTCAAGTGAAGGATTAAAAGGCCTTTGAAGCAGGATGCAGGTAATCAAGTCGTTGAGACAATGTCCTTTGTGGTTGAAATGGCAAGAAACTGTTTTTTCTTTGTGATCCTGTTTGATATCTGTTTTGTGGGCATTGATCCTTTGGCGAAGTGCAAGATGAGAAAAACGGGTCCTTCAATCAAGACAGGGTTGAAGTCTCTGAAAACTGAATATAGGTGAGAAACCATCTAGAACAAAGACAATACCTTGCTAGATTAAATTTTAAACTTTTAGATGCATGTTTTCACATTTATTTGCTTGTAAACTTTATTCCTTTTACTTTATATACTATTGTTAAAATTGTGATATGTTTACTATAAACCAACTTAATGTGGTGTTTAAAGGAAACGGTGTGCTTTTCTGCCTTTAAAGGAACAAATAAATCTTATTATTTTGCTAAACTATCTAGGAAGGAACTGGACATTGCAGAGCACATGTAACTGCCACGTGGCAGGTTTGAATCTGGGACCTCTGAAGCAGAGTATAGGAGCCTCTACCCTCTGAGCTAAAAGCCAGCTAACTCCTAGCCCCTGCTGTAGAGGTCTTTTGATCTTATCTGTTGCTGTGGTCTAGGTACCCACTTGCATTGCTCAGTAACCACACCAGGGCTGCATCTAGATTGGCATGATTTTCCGGAAATGCTTTTAACAGAAAAGCATTTTCGG